CATCAAAGGATCAGCAGTATCGCATCAACCCAGCTGTCAGTCACTGTCAGACCGAGTGCAAGGGAGGAGAATCTCACAAAGTAAGCAGGGAACTCAATTCATCAGAGCACAGCAGGATGGAGGGTGAGCAGCTTTCAAGATAGATTTTATATATATATATATATATATATATATATATATATATATATATATATCTAATACATACTACAAAATCTGTTGTAACCACACCTTATTTTCTCCTCATTTTGCTTCACTTCTTCACTGACAACATGCTAAATCAAGCTAATGAGCTGTTCCAGCTGCCTGCAACCCAAATGGAAAACAGCAAGAAAGAAATTTAATGAGACCAAATGCAAATCGGTTCCTTCTGCTCACATTAAGGAAGTCGCCAAAAAAAAAAAAAAAAAAAAGACAGGCTGGGCAGGCTGAGGCATGTCCACAAGTTAGCATGACTAACATGATGTCTGTGACCGACAATAGGCTATTCTGTTGGTTAGCAGCAAAGGAACCTCATGACAACCGAGAGGTCACAAAGGGCACTTCCTGTCATGAAACATGCGTCCGGCTGGACGAGAAGCTGCCCAGTAAAAAAGGGCCGATTGACAAAAAGCAGGAACATGCCTGACTCATGCAGTAACTATACTGTATGACATGCTTGTCTATACTTAAAACTACACAGATCCAAACCCCAGCCAGATTTTTGCTTGAATTCCTGAGTCTAAATATGTTTTTTGGCTTGAACGGTAGCAGTTGGGATATGGGCCCGGCAGGCTGTTGTTACGGTGCGCTGTGCCCATGAGAGATGACATGACGGTTGGCTGAGTGTAGAGCTGTCGCTGCTTAGTCAGCGTCGCCCTCGGAGCTGTCTGTCCACAGCAGCGGTCTGTGATCGTATACGAGTGTTTGTGTGTCTGAGTGTCGGCGTGTGCAAACACCATATGTTTCAAAGCCCTGCGGCATTTTAATTTTTAAAGTCAAACAGATGGATAAACCCTGGAGGCGATACAAGAGATTCTCTCAAGCCTTTCGAATGCCACATCGATTGTGTGTGTGTGTGATTAATATGCCACACCACACACAAGAGACTTATCGGTTTAAGGGAGGCTTGCCCCTTGTCGCATTAAGCCGAGGGTTACTGAAGATGTCATTTGCAACAATGACTTGCCAGGTTTCTGAGCTCAAGTGAAGAGGAAGTTAACTGAAAGGGGTTTTTTTTTGATCATGGGAACTTCCTAGTCTGGACTGACTTTGCCCTTAAAAAGATTCAGTATTGCATTTCCATAAGGTTGGGTCGACGTAAAAAAGCATTGTTCATAATTGAAGCGGCAGAGGGAGAGATTTCGTGACTTTTAGTCTCTAGTAAGGGTCAAGCTACAAAGAATTCCGGAACATACACTTCCCATAATGCAACGCAACAGCGTCTTTTGTTAGAAGCTCCCAGCCTGGTAAATGTCTGGGTCTTTTTAATGTCCACCCTGTGTGTGTAACCTCTAAAGATCACTGATTAACATATATTATATGTTATATCTTCTTTGTTTCATCCACACAGAAACCAAAGTGTAAAAACGACACGTTGTAGTTTTGTGTGCCGGACTGGAAGCAGCAATTTCCTGGAACTTGGCCAGAAACCCCCCAATCTGCTCCATATTTAGCATACAGACATGAGAGCGGTATCAATAAGGGCCGTCCGAGTCCAACGTGATTCTTAGTCGATGACTATTTTGATTTAAGTGACAGATCTGTAAAACTGAGTTACTCCTCAAGGAATCGCACAAAAGCACCAATTTTAATCTTCAAGTTTCTTGGAACTGAAAACATAAGAAGAAATCTTAGCCGGCTAAGACGAAAACGATCGATTAGTCGACTAATCAGCTAAGAGGGGCGGCCGTAGTATCAATCATCTCGCCGACACAGCGCATAAGCGCATCTCCTAAAATATCAAACTATCTATTTAAAGTCTCGAAGGCGAAGGTCGACTGTTGTAGAAAACAAACAGTGCAGTACAGCTAATGGGCAGAATGGAAACTAGGGTATTATAGATGTGTCCCTGATAAGAGTGAAAACACAGCGCTCAGACATGAATGACATCAGTGTCACGAGAGCGGTCTGCCTTGTTTCTTTTGGTGTATTAACAATGAACCCGCCTAAATTTAGACTCGGTTGAGTATCTAGGCTAAATCAGATCTCATTTGGAGTAAGTAAAGAACTGCTGCGCCCACGCCCTGATCCATGAGTGACATTTCCAACGCTGCAGCTGCTGTGCTGACAAGGGGCTCTGGGGAATCACTTCACTTCAAATGATGCCTCTAAAAAGAGACAGTAAAACAAATCAGTGAGAGAGAAACAGAGCAGCAACTGTATTTTGCGGACATGAAAAAAAAGGCAAATACTGAAAAGGTAGTGAGGATCAAAGTCAGTAGAAGGAAGTCGACTTTGGAGGCTATTTGACATTCATGTCTTGTTGGTGCAGGCCCAGAGATAATTGCGAGCGATCAAGCGTCAAAATCTGCCTAAATCCAAACCTTCCTAAAAGCTAATCTGCTCTCCGGCAAACTCAGCCAGCTTTAAACTGTCAATAGATTGCAGCCTGCAGCTTCCTATGTGGTTCGCCACAGGAATGGTGGGGAGTGGGGGGGGGGAGAGAGAGAGAGAGAGAGAGAGAGGCAGTGCAGTGTTTAAGGAGGATACGTTTTGGCTGAGGCCCCATCGCTGCATGTGGGCCTGATCCACCCCTGACGCCCTGCATGTGAGCACAATAGTCTGCTCCCACGGCTGGTTCTGAAGGACGCATGGGGGGATAACGCAGATTGAGAGTGTGAACATGTGCAGATCACAGGGAAGAAGCAAACCTGCCAGCGTCACTGCTTTTTTATGTCACTGGTGTTTTGGCGATAGGGCTTAGAAATGAACAATAAAAGTGAGGGAAAGAGGGACGGAAGAGCCAGTTGGTGGAAGCTCTCTTGGTCTAGTTGGCTCAGCACTTGAGAGGAAGGACTCCTCTGATATAAAGTAGGTTAATTGTCCTCTCTAAGGTGGGTGACTTCCTAAAATTCCTCTCTTCAGATCTATGGGAGGTGCTTCTTTAGATCTCCCGACTGCTTTTGAACCATTTTAAACCTTTTAATTTTCATAAACAGATAAATGTCCCTCTATGACTCTCATTCCAACACCATCCACAAGGACATAAGTGATATCTGTAGCCTACATATTTCTAAGTATTAAGTGCCGCAGGTCTCTGCTAAAACGACGACAGAATTTACAACCCTGTGACACGATAATTACACTGGGTTGTGTGACGCTCTTTTTTTAAGCTGCTACTTTAAGGAAAGTCCTTCACCCACGTAAGCCGAGAAGGTATCCATAAATATTGACTGGATATAGAATGACCGATATTCTCGGTACAGCCTCCCTCTCGCCACCAAGCGTGTCAACCAGGGAGCTGGGTTTTGGCCTAAATTAGACTGATCCAGGTTGCGGCGCAAACATGATGCGGACGTGTACTCAAAATGTGTCTTTTAAAATAACCGAGCCAGTTCAAACAGCCTTGGAATGGCAATGATATGTTAATAACAGACTGCGGAGCAGAGCTGGAAGTCTCACCTGCAGCTCCACAGGACACCTTTTGGACGGCTTTTGCAAGACATTTATCATCTTTGACTTTATGCATGCATTCTGGTGGTTTTTTTTTAGCATCCGATGAACCAGACTCCTTCGATGCATTTCGCGGGGTGTCCTGCTAAACTTAACCTTACAGTTGCCGGGGGGAAAGAAACTCAAACTGCACAGTCGAAATGCTAAATGAATATTTTAAGAAGCTGTATTACTTCAGTGGGTTCACGGTTCCATCACTGAAGGGGGTCTGCATATTGTATAAATGACTCTACATCATTGAAAGTAACTTGTGAAAGATCAACATGGCCTGCAGCAGTCTTACATTAAACTACATGCATTGACACGCTAAAACAGTGTGTTCATTGAGTGGCTTATAGCAAGAATTGTAAACTACTAAAATAGCAAAAGGAACTGTCACGGAGGGAATCTGGAGGGCCAGGGTTTTGTGTGCATCAAGAACACTGTGCTGATCTCTGCACACCCTCCCCCTGTCGCCACAACCTGCCCTCAGGCATTACATTTTTCTGCTGTCATCAAGTGTGCAATAATGTACCGAGTTAAGCTCATCTGTGCAGGCAGAAGGACAGCAGAGCTCTCCTGGAGGCATCTGCTGCAGTTTATGTGAGCTAATATAGCACTGGTGTGACAATCAGCTGGAATCAGGGCTTAAATTCAAGCTGAAGATTTGTTTCAAGGGGGCTTCAAGTGCAGACTACTGATCATTCTGAGCGTCCAATGACTGGAATCACTCTCTCAATGATTGTTCTGTGTTGTTTTTAAAATCACTGAAGCCAGCTGTTACCATCCCACCTGCGGCAGAGTTATGTAAGCCTGGCAATCACCGGGACTGGCTCAAATAAGTCATTGTCTCATAAAATGTCAGATGATCTCTGGTCTACTTTTTTACATTTCCGCCGGTTCTGAGCATGAAAAAGTTAAGAGAAGCCCTGCAGTCGTGCCCGGTTAGGTGATGTGGAGGAATTGTGAGAGGAAGAACTCGCCCACCAACACCAACGCGCCGTCCAGAGCACTACTTCCCCTCACACACGGTGTTTCCCGTACAAACACCAGCTAATATGCACGTTAATAGGGAGAAGTATCTCAATGAAATTGATTCCAGGGGTTTCCTCGTGTCAGCACGCGGGGCCTTTCCGAGCGTGTAACCTCGCGCTGAGCTTAGTTGAACCAAGATAACTTAACCTACCTGGACATATGGACATAGCTTACCCAAGAAGACAATTATGGTCAAACAACCCCATTTGAAAACCCTTCGCTCGGCTGAATATGCAGCTAAACGCCAGCATTGTGTGTTTGCGCTAACGCCACACGCGCACGCACGGTACGCGCGCGCGCTGTGTAAATGTTGCGTTCACGGCGAGCGAACTTACCTAAATCATCCATGTTGGCCGGAAATCGTTCCAACGCTCTGAGAACCGGACCCGGTCCTCCTCTGTCGATCACAGCGGGACTGTAAAGCAGCCGATTCGGCTCCCGATCGCTGAGTCTTCGATCACAGATCCGCCTCGCGGAAAGCAGGGAAGTTTTCAAGTTCCCCTGCTGCTCGACGAGCCTCAAACACACTCACAAACACACTCACATATACACACACACATACCCTGCTGCCCCCCTGGAGTCACCGACAGCCCACATCCAGCCCCCTGCCTGCCCAGCAGCCCGCACACACAGGGACCAGCGACATCTAGCGACAGAGAGTGGTACTCGAGTCTCACCATATAATCCACTTCATTTCAGTGTAACTTCACCATATCAGGTAGTTACACCACTTTAATCACATAAAACTGACTTGCACTGGACTTTCTGCACATGCATGTGTGGATTAATTGATATAGCCTAAGGAATTGTAATGTACAGGATATGGATGTGTATAATGTATATAGCTTTAAAATGTAATTTCTCAAATTTCTTTGAAAAAATATTTTATTTATTTAAGTCAATTAGATCTTTATCGTTTCCTTTCGTCTTTTGTCGCTCCCCCTGCCTGGCAGCGATACAGTCTCATCTTGTTGCAGCTAATCATCATTACTACGAGATCATTATATGCAGCCCACATTGAGTTCAAGCCAAGTGAACACACTTTCTTCACCCAAATCGATCATGAGGCTGTTTGGCCCAGTTCCAGGTCCTCCTTATGCTCAGGGTAGCCCAAGAAAGGTCATGCAACCTGCGATGATGACCCCATGTTCGAACAAAATAACAAAAACACAGCAAAAGCGACCTCTTGGATGCACCGATGATGAAACATGAAAAAGTGCCACTGTGGTTTCTGTCAGTGGTGAAAATGTGATAAAGTGTTGTTAAGGTTGCTTTTCTTGTGGAGAAAACACAATGTGGTGCCTCTGCCCCTCAGACAGCCCGACTCCACCACTGAACCGGCCCCATTTGTGCACAAAAGGAGATTATTTGGAGGTTAATAGTTTAAAGATTTCAGAGACTAAATGCTGTAGAAACAAATTATGTATATGTTGTATTAAAGGACTCGATTGACATTCCTCCCCGGTCAACTCCTGCTTTCTCTTTCCCTGCTGTGGTTTGTGATGTATTTTGTTTCACATACGCACACTCCTTATTCAGACTGTTCTGTTCTAGAACAACAGTATAGAACAGCCTTCCTATCCAAACACAGAATAACTCCAGCAACCGGCAGTGTTTGTTACAAAACCTTCTCGATAACAATTAGAAAATGGAGAAAACTACAGATTTTGAATCTCTTCTCAAAACCATCGAGGACTCCATCAGGAGGAGGAAAGACCTGATGGCCCTGGACACACTGGACACCACCAGTGTCCCCGAAACAGCAAAAGGGGAGATATCCCAGGAGCAAAGCACCATCCCTGGAGATTTGGAGTCCTTCCACCAGACAAACAAGTTCCTCATCCAGAAGGCCCTTCGCTTAAGAAATGACAACATGTCTGAAGAGACAGAGGCTCGGGTCACCAGCAGTGGCTCTGAAATATCTACGGCTACAGAATTTGCCGACAAAGACTTGCAGAATGAAATCCCTCAAACAGATGACAAGGAATCTCAGGCGGAAGCAGTTCAGAGCTCCGCTGAGCTGCAGAAGTTGGATGTCCTGCTTGAAAATGTCGAGGATGGGCGGCAGAGCCATGATAGCTCTAGCATCTGGGAGGAGCAGAACTTTGTGAGTGAACCCCACAGACCTTCGTTGTGGAAAAGGTTTGTCAGGCTCTTCATCCCGGGATGGAGGAGGCGCTACTGGAGCAGGGAGACAATGGAGTATGTGCAGTCTGGGAGTGAGCCAGAGAAGAGACCCAGATGAGGTTGACGTTGCAGAAAAGAAAAATGATAAATATAGCAAAATGAAAAATACTTTAATGTGTATGCAGTTATTTTTCATCAATCAACTATCTTTGCCCAAGAAGTTAAGAAAGTTGAATGTATTCTGTTGCCATAGTGCAGTCTGTAGGTGAAATGCCATCAACATTTTGCAGCATTACCAGGAGTTGCACCTGTCTTACAAATTTGCTTGCAACGGCACGTTCAAAAGTTGCCACAACTTCAATGTCAATCAAAAATGCTGCATTCAAATAGTTCATGCATCTATAAGATTTGACTATATTTACTTTAGAAAGAGCAAATAAAAAAATTCGTAATGGTGTAAACTAAAAGATTAAATTAAGGAATCAAGGGGGAAAATTAATTTTGTTTTACTTTGTCAGTTCAGGAGTAATGAGCATAATGTTGGCCAATTTTACTCAAATCTGTTAAGATATCACACACATGACAAAACACTTAACCAAACAGACAAGATGCAATTATAATAGAATAGAAAAGAGCTAATTGCCTCTTTTCAGCCCTTCAGTAACCACTGTGATGAATATCACATTATTGGTTTCACCTCATTAAAAAAATGCATTGTTTTTAATTTCGACCCATTCTCCGTATAAAGACTCTTACTTAACCAATATCCTTTAAGTTTAAAGTTGCTTGTTGAAAGAAGTGAAGGACGGCAAAAGGCCTAGACGAACATAAACAGGAGGCTGATAATATTAATACAATTACTGCTCTAAAATTAACACAATCATTTCAATCTTAACACATGTTTTTTTAAATCACGGTTATCAAGTGTGTAATTCCACAATAACTCACCGTGTGCACAGCTACAGAGATGCTGAACTTCCAGAAAATTGAGTCCTTGGATGTTTGAAGCTCAGTGCTGGAGTTTATTAAGCTCAGTTTATTTACAAACAAATGCTACAAACTGACTTCGTAGACCATTCACAGCCATTTATGCAATATTTGAGATATCTTCAAATTAAGTCACTCAACCTCTGAACCCATATGTATATGTTGCTGTATGGGCCAACTGAGTTTGACCTAATGGCAGTCAAAGATGACCAACATACTGGATACAATGCTCTGTGAGTGTGAAGACAGTCTGTTCAAAGGATGTCAGGACATTAACTGGCCCTAAATGCCTGTGAATTCAAATAGAAAGGGACAAAGTATTTTTGCTTTAAAGACCTCTTCCAATGTCTTTGTCATTTTAAGACAAAAATAAATTGAAGTAAAAACAACACTGAAAACAATACTCTCCATATAGTACACCTACCCCACTTTAAAGAATGAGGAAAGAACCGACACCTAACCCGTTTACGGGCCCCCTCTGAACACGCACTCAGCACAAATCGACAGCTCTCACAGAAAATGTATCCATTATTTCACAGTGGTGGGTATAGACTTAATGCCACTTAAGAGCTGTGTTACATCTCAATACAGACCTCTGTGAGAACGAGTTAATTGCAACCTCAGCACACTAAAATGCTTCCCCTGATCATTGATTGGTGTAATATTCCTATAATATTCCTACAGGGATTTACAGTCAATGGTGCTCAGCAGTGAGATTATAGGGACCTTATCAAGGCTTTACAGAGGTTTTTATGTGTATTACGTCATCTCAACAAGATTTCTGTGGAAACTATCATGTTAATATTGCTATGTGACCACTGCAGCCCTGTCTATCATTATGGATGCTTATTCAGTTGGCCCGTTTGATTTATTTCATCTTAATTCTCCTCAGTGGCAGCTAGGGGGTGCTCCAATTCAGTTTTAGTTTCAGAGCGCCAAACTACCTATATCCACTTTTGCATGTTTTAATAAAGTGGCTATATTTCTACTTTCAGTTCCAACGTGATCTTAACAATTTTAAAACATAATATTGTTGTTATTCTGTTACTCATATGGTCTGGAGACTTCAACGTTGAACATAAACAAATTATTTTAGAATGTTTATGTTCAAAACCGATTAATGCTGTAACCTACAGAAAAACATTTCATTGTTACTGCCCAAACTGTCTGTGATTATTTGCCAAGGTACTTCTGTGTGTCACTAACTTTACCTCAAATCTTGTCAAGGTTTTTGATTTAAAAATGGCAACAGATCTTTTAAAGGAGCAATACAACAGCACGAAGGAGGAAAATGATCGATATGAAAAGCTGATCAGCCAGCAGAAGGATCGTGTGGCCTCTCTGGATAAGGAGGTAAAATAGACGGACATCTATTCTGTTTTAATGTGTGTTTCACTTTTATCTAATTGTTATAACTTAGTGTATTTCTATTCCTGTTGCAGATGAGATTATTTTTATCTCTGTTTTTGTTGCGATTATGACATGATATGCATATGTTGTACTAAGTAGTAGTAGCACTAGTATGTGCAGTAGTAGAGTACCAGTAATAGAGGTTGAATGTAGTGTACTAGTATGTTTTGTAAGGTACATACTATTGTATTATTCAATCAGATACAGTATGGTCAGCTGGTTTAAGTTTCAACCAAATCATTCTATGTTGTCATTCATTTAGCTAACAGCACATTGGATTGGAAATTATACAATGGCAATGAAGGAGTTGACTTTCAACTTTACTTTTAATACATTTACACACATGGTAAACAGTGTAGGAATTGTAGAGGATAAGTTATAGCCCCATTATAGAGCTGCACTGTTCAAATACTGTGGGAAACTGTGTATTGTCAGGGTTGCAGTGTCTTCACTGTTCAAGCACCCTTAAAGCTGAAAGTCAGCACATTAAATTCATAGTCCGTGTTTCGTTTCAAATCCAGTGTGCTACAGCCAACAAAAAAAGGAAAGGTGTCATTGTCTGTAAAGCTACAGAGATCATTGTATGTATTGAGTGTTATTTCCTGTGTGGCTCCAGATAGCTGTGTTCGAGAGCAAGATCCAAGAGAAGTTAACACCACCAGGTGGCATCCTGAAACACCAAGGGAAAGGCAGACGCAACATAAAGCGCATCCACATCTTAGAAAACCAACTCAAACAGGTACTGATCCTAAAAAAAACACTGCTTTTTACACACAGCAATGCTACAATGTAAGCTTCACTCAAGTCCTCCCCCAATTAACCAGTAATTTTGGGAGACACACTTATCTGCTTTCTTGTCGAGAGATTGATAAGACGATGGATACCACACATCAATCATGGCCTTTAAATATTCAGCTACACCCAAGAGACAGCTTAGTTTAGCATAGAGACTGAAAGCACAGGGAGTAATGACTTCTCCAGGAGGTCACTGCACCCCACCAAGAAATAGTCCAGCAACTCCATGTAACACCACAATTAATATGTTAGTTAGCCTTAGAGGCGCTAGTGGGTGGAGGTTTGTTATCTAAAGACTGAGCTAGGCGGGCTGTTTCCACATGTTTCCAGTCTTTGTGCTAAGCTAAGCTAATAGATTGCTGGCGGTAGCCTTATATTTAACGGACCAATATGAGAGTGGTATTAATCTTCTTGTAAGGAGAATAAGCATATTCCCACCAAAAAGTCAAACGGTTCCTTTATTACAAGCCCTACTTTTAAACTGACACCCCTCACCACAGTCTTGACTTTTACACAAATTTGAAATTCTCAAGTTGATGAAAAGTCCCAGATTTTAACCTCAACTGTAACTTCTTCCCTCGTCTTCTGTAGTACACCGTTAAGTTTGATGAGTTGATGTGCAGCAACATGGAGTATCGCCAAGACATTGCCGTCCTGCTGCAGCAGAAAAGCATTTTGTGCAAAATCGATGCGAAATTCGACAGACAGTTGGCTGCACAGAAAAACATCACAGAGAAACTGGGGGAGAGGGTCGTCCTCGCTTTCAACGACAGGTAATTCATGTGTTTGAGTGCATGTGGGAAACTTCAGCAGGACAAAAAGAAACTAGACGTGTGTTTGTGTTGCGCTACAGGTCAATGGCCGAGACCAAAATGTTGAAAGCGAAGGAGTGCATCAAGGTGGAGACAGCGCGGTTTCTCGAGAGAAGGAGAGAGCTGGAGAGGCTCATCACCCAAGATACCAAACTGCTGACTTTCATCGAGACGAAACACCAGGAATTCCTTCCTTTGGAAGAAGATGAAGACTCAAAGAAGAGAAGTATATTATTACTCTTGATTAAGGCTTAAACAGTCTTCATCTTTCCCTAAAGCAGATACAATTTCACATATTTTAGACATAATCTAGTCTGTATCCTTTATTTCATTGTTACAGAGAAGCAGCAGCACGTGGAGGCACACAGGGCGCTAGTGGAGGTCGGCGGAGAGAGAGACCTGCGTCAGATAGACCTCATGACTACCCAGGATGAGCAGGAGAATATGGCTTATTTCAGATACATCAACGAGCTGCATTGCAAAAGGAGCATGTTGAAGAACAAAACAGAGCAGTTGAAGGCATGTGCATATCCTCTTAACATGCTCATAGACATAGTTTAACCTAGAGTAAGTTTTATTTATACGCACATGTTTCTCTCTCAGAGTGATATCCTGTCCCTGGAAGAAGAGAACAGAGTACATGATGAGGACAGCCAAATTAAAGATCTAGAGGTGAGTCTCTACTGTCTGACCTACCTGGTCACATAAAACAGTACAGTGGTTATGTCTCTTAATGCCGAATCAAATGTTTTTAGAACTTATACAAAGATCAGATGCCCTCGGTTCTTTAAAACTAGATCTAGCATGCATTGTCTCTCTCTCTCCTGTCTCTCTGTGCTGTAGTCTGAGTTGGAGACGTATAGATGTCTGTCAGAGTCCCTGCAGAAGCAGTGCGCTGAGGTTCAGAGGACTCTGGACCAGCTGATGACTGCCATCAGTGGCCTTTTCGAGGAGATAACGCAAGAAGCTGTCGTCATCAATTCTGACAACGTTGCACACTTTATCAGTAGGTGACTTTCTTGACCTCCTAAACCTGGACCTGAATGTACATTTTTCACATTTCAACACACCTGTTGTCACCTTCACTCTCCTTCAGGTATCCTCGAGGAGACTATTGGTAACCTGCTGATCCAGGCTCATCCGAACACGCCGTTGGCTAACTTTGACTTGCTACCAGGTATGAAACTTGATTTATCACACCTAAACTGTGTGATAAGTGGTATGCTCTCCTTGATCGTAATACTGTATATAACCTTTTTTTTTATATAGACCTGTCCAACCATAAACTGTATTTGTTGCATAAGGGGAGGCAGTCGGGGAAACGGCACGCTCCAAGTCTTCTTCACACTCGCTCAAGTTATCCTGATCAGACAGAAAGCGGTGCAGTCACATCCTTCCTCCCTTCACTGCAGTTCAACAGCCTCTTACACACTTCAGATGGCAATAAACAACTCCTCACAGCATCACACCCTGGTTCTTTACTGTGTGTAGCATACAGAACAATCATTTCTTCATTCAGAATTAGAAGCAGAGTTTTTATATCAATAATAAATGATCTGACGTGTGACAGCATCAATATCAAAGCTGCATTACTTGGGGATAGAGGAACTCTGCAACAAGCTGAATACACATCATAGCATGTTCGCTAGTTGTGGATAATGTGTTAGCAAACACAGCAGATACAGAGCAACATTAGCATTCATTTGCAGCCATGTTTCTGGCCACCTGATGAAGTCCAATATCAGCTCTCCTTTTAGTGCTGTTTTGGTCTCGATTATCTTCTAAAGCGAAATATCTGGCTCTTTAGCTGCTAAATGCTCCACTAAGTTCACCAGCGTGGCGCTAACTATGGCCGTCTGCCGTTTGTTGCTGAACACGTAATGTACAGTTTACAGGTTTATCAGAGCTTTTCAATATCTGTTGCTGCTGGAGGTTAACGATGGCCAACTCTGCCTGCAGTAAAACCTGTCTGTTCCTATAGAGACTGTTAAAACAGGACGCTCAAATGACTTGAGCTCAAATGTCTGAGCTGATCCAAGCACTTATCCCTCATATCTCATACATATCTCCCGTCCTCCAAAGCAGGCAATAAATTAGTCTGAGGTTGACAAGCTGGATACCCCCCTGCCATGGATCCTCCAGCTGTCAACAACCAGGGATTTTCACCCCGCCAAAGTCTGGCAAGAGGGGTAGTTGAGGGCGGGTTAGGATCGCTTGGTGGCATCCTATTGTGTGCCTGTCCACAGTATAGCATTACCCTCCTCACATCATCACAGCACTAAAATAACATCAGGGCTTTGTCTCACTAAAGCCCTCTGTTTCAGTAGCCAAACATTTGGATGTGTGCTCTCCATACGATGACTCAAAGGAATGTGACCTCTATTGCATAGTCTCTGTTCTGATTATACAGTTCTTTCCTCTCATCGTCTTGATAAAATGTGTCAAAAATCAGACAGCTCTGGCTTTCTGTCTTTGAAAACCTTTATTAGACGAACATGCACAGGCCTAAAAAATGGATACTTTCGAGGACAATATCTAGGTGGAGTGGAGTGTACAAAATGATAAGGAAAATAATTTAATTAGTCTTGAGTGAATGTGGGAACATACTGGGGATAAAGCAGAAAGGGAGCTCACTATGTCGACGCTTGCCAGTTTTGGGGGCTTGGAAGAGAACATTTTGTCTTGATCCTACTGTACAGAGATGCATGAGACAAAGATGCATAAATACACCACAGTCCATATCTCCTTCAAGGGCAGTGGGCCAGTTTCATGTCATGTACTGGCAAACAAACCGACTTTATATTTGATGTTGACAGAAAAGTTTACTCCTGGTCCTTTTCCTCTCCATGGGTAATGATGTGAACCAGGTTATTGTAGTCCAGGTTCCCTGTCACATCTGGGGGGAAGGCAGCAAACATCTGCACCATCTAACCAACAACAAAACAGATATTACCATCAGTTTTTTTCAGAGCTTTAGCAATTCACGAAAACAATAAATCAGCATGCATGAAAACTTGTTTTGATGATTCACTGAGGCTTTTTTTTGTGGGGGGGGGGGGGTTGTACAAAATAAATGGATGTAGACGATCGTCACGATGACGTTCGTCCTTCTGTGCACTTTGGAGTCACCCACACACACAAAGCATTTACACACAATGATAATTAAAGTAAAAGGACTACAATGTACCTCTTCAGGGGAGAATCGGTCCGCTTGTGTTGTTAGCATCTGTGTCAAGCTGAACAGAAAAAAAAGAGAAAAAACACTATGAGGTGACGAGGCCTGTTTTCACACGAGGAGGAAATGTGCTCGTCATTAATTAGTTGGCCTGGGATGAATGATTGCGCCAAGACTCGGACGCAGTCATAAATTGTGTGGGGAAAAAGCTTACACAACACTCCTCGCAATGAATTTGCATATTGCAAATTGCCTTTGTGTGAGAAGTGGAGTGTGATAAGTCACTTACTAGTCCTTCCTCAGCACGCCTTTCCCCTCAGGGTCAAAGACTTTAAACGCGTTGAGGATGGTGTCCTCTGGATCAGCACCTAGATACATTGAAGAAGTCAGTATACCGTTCTCGAAACATACTCAAATTAATACTCGCATTACTTATATGTTTATTTTTTTTTAATACATTTTCATTATTAGACTGTACGTCCTTACCTTTCAGCTTCTCGCCGAACATGGTGAGGAAGATGGTGAAGTTGATTGGACCAGGAGCCTCTTTGAGCATCTCGTCAATCTCCTCCTGTTTCACATTGACACGTCCTGTGGCATGAAACATTCAAAATGCGAAACAATCAGATCGAGCAGATTCAGTTGCTGCGCATGTAGTGAAACATGGACCTCGAGTGTCGTTGATCTTAGTTTTGCATTGTAGTTCACGATTACTCCTCACAGACTGTGGTCTTTTATCTGCAATAAAAGCAAATCAACTCGCAGCATCTTGTACGACTGAACATGGGAGGGGGGGTTGACATACCTAGAGCAGCAAAAGTGTCCCTCAGATCATTCTTGTCGATGAAGCCGTCTCTGTTCTGGTCCATGATGGTGAAGGCCTGAGGTCAGCACACAGAAGAAGATACAGTAACACATAAATGAGTCTCTCCGCCTTGAAAAGTGAGAGTTGCAAACAGATTGCAGTCACACGCTTCCAGCCCACTTCACAGAAAGACAAAATTCAATCTGTCACACATGGATTTTAGATTCTCGGTCTTTCCTTGAATATCTTGTGTGCCGTCTTCATAGATGAGCACTGTTAAGTATTTATAACTTGTGTGACCCCCCCCCGCACTCCCCCCCCAAAAAAGGTTTAGCTTGGCATTCAGGGCATGCCCAGCAGTTTATGTGAAGCCTAATCACTGATGACAGTCTGGATGTCTGGGCGCCACTGACCGGCATACCACAGGCCTCACTGCTGCAGAGCCAGGGACAGTAAGAATAGACAGGTGGGCATACTACACTGATGAACAATGGAAATGAAAAGGACAGAGGGGGGACGTAGAGGTAGGAAGAAATAGAAAGCTTGTGGTGTATTTTTTTCTAAAGACAGAAATACTTCAATCATAATACTCGACATGGTGAGCTAACATGCATATTCATACACCATTTCCACATTTCCCATGGTGTTCCCAGTCAAATGTAAATCAGTGGGGGAAAAAAACATTGATTGAGCAGCTTTCACCTCTTTAAATTCCTGGATCTGAGCCTGCTCAAACATGGAGAACACGTTGGAGTTGGCTCCCTCTGCTGTCCTCTTCTTGGCTTTCTTGGGGGCCTTTTGGCACAAAAAAAGTAGAAGAGGTGAGGCAGACGCTATAAGGCCATTAAGGTAAAGCTACATGTTCAACAACGTCAATTAAATGGCTCGCATGCAGAACATTTTGTTTATAAGAGGTGGAAAATAGCTTATGGGCAATAACACACATGCATAAACGTGATATATTATCCTATTTCAATGGCCTTTTATGCAATTATTTGTCCTTGAAAAATATGCGGTGTGCTATTTAGGATGCATTAAATGTACATGTAGCAACGCATTCAATGTCTGGTGAAAAGTTAGAAAAAATAGAAACATTTGCAATGATAAGTTTTCAAATCAGCCTGGTGTTCATCTCATTAAGCTACTCCCAAAAAACATTGTGAAATATCTATTTTCAAATCATATAAATATACAGATGAGAATATTAAATGATTGCACTCATCTGTCCACTGTTAAATTATTTAAGCACCCTTGAACCCCAAAAAAATAATGTTCGATATCTGTCCTTGCCATCAAACAGCGTCCCACACAAAATGACTTACCATGGCTGAGCAGCTGGGAGGTCAGACCAACAATAACAGTGAACAATGGGAAGATGGTGGGTGCCCTTTTGTAGCCCCCAACCCTCAACTCCACTGGATGATATTTATAAACTATGTCCTCTTTAGGAAGTGACAGGTAAATGATGCTTCATACAGCGCATACAGTATCGCATGCTTGCAAGAAACACACGTGCACACATTGGACAAAGAGGTTGGAATAACTGGTATCGAATATCATGAGCAGAAGGTTAAAGCATTTACTTTAAAGTGCCCTCTGTCCACAGACCAGTTTTAAACTTTAGAAAGGCGTGGCATTACCTTGATAAAAGGGATGTTTTCAACACTGCTTTGTGGAAAATGATATAAAAATTGTGCGATTGCCACCCAGGTTGAGCCAGACTTCCACCACAGCTAAAGTCACAGAAGACCATAGTTCTCAATACGGCAGAAATGGGGTTTTCCACCAGCTGACCAGTTGTATGACTTTTGAACTACTAAAAAATTTCAGAAATCTGATCAGACTATCTGAAAATTGGATATATCTAAACAATGACCATTCAAAGGGTGGATTAAATCCAGTTCTGTCTTAAAATGATATCAAATGCAGTCTTCCCCAACCTAATGTATTACATGTAACTTAAAGAAATGTAACTGGTGTTGATGTAGGCGAAATACACTATACATCTAATTAACAAAGTTTGTTTTATTTTTAACATTTTATCAAATTAAGACATCATAAAGTGTTACAGGTTTGCCCCGGCAACAAGAGATGTGTTCAGGAACCTTTACTCTTGAAAAGGTCCTTGGATTAATGACTAAATACTGCAGGAAAATAGAAAAGCATTACCTGAATAGATGAAACCTGTTAAGATGACAAAATAAAGGTATATTTAAATAACTGTATTTAAAAGTGTTAAAGATTTTTGACACACAAAACAGCTGTTTGAAAGCCTTTATCTAAGGGCTGGAACTTTGAGCTTGAACTGACTTACTTTAACCCACGAAATCTTAACTTTTGATTCGATATTCTGATATGTGTGCAAATCATTTCTTCTGTGCATTTGACAGAAGACATGATGAGAGAGCGTGGAAGTCACCAGCTCCTTAAGTATAATTTATTGACCCGTCAGGACTGCGTTACCCCCAACCTTAGTCACATTTCTCACATGCCTCATAGTACAGTATGGCACAACATGCATAGTACAAACTATTTATGAGACCTCATTTATCTAACAAACATGGAAGGGGTCTCTGTCTTTCAATTGACAGGGGACCCCTATTGTTACAATGCCAAAGGGCATGCTGGGTACAATTCGTGCCGCATCAAAGGCTGTCTTCGATCGACTTTGCACACCACCCTGGTGTTAACTTTAAAGAGCTCGTGAAACTACGCTGAGCGTTATCAACAGCAAGTAGGTGCGACATCCTCACGTGAGACACTGCTGACACTGAACACGTTCTTACAATTTGCCTTTGCATTGTTAACACGTCGTCCAGTGTCACTCGTGTGCTCCCAGGTCAAGAAAAGCGACAGTCTGTGAAAATGAGCAGAAAGGGCCGGGGGGGGAGGGTGAGGGGGTGAGGAGGTGAGGCCGCGGGTGTGTGATCTATAAAAAGAGAGGCGCTGAAAGCCTCGCTGCTCTCAGTCAAATAAAACGCTGGTGATGACGCGACAGCAGATGCCCCATGGTATCATCTCACAGCACGGTGCGCACAAGCGGGTCAGAATTAGGAGAGTTATGGCTGCAGATGCTATTGTTGAAAACGTTTTCTCGCTTCAGCTCTTCTCAGTTTCTGATTGCAGCTATACCGTGACTGGAATGGCGGGCCATTGTCGCGTTGGCTGAGCGCCGGGATCAGACGCCTATAAATAGACTGAACTCTTCTAACACAATGGACACGGACAAATAAGTCATCCCACAGGCAGCCTCACCGAAGGCACGAGCGAAGAGGGCTTCAAGAATGATCGGGTTTTCTCTTCCCTCACATTAGAGAGCGAATTAGTAAGGAGTTCTGTGTCTGCAGTTTATAATAGCTAAACTATGGTGGGTTGTCATTTGCTCATAGGCACACAAGTACAACATAAAGGAGGCAAAGTAGAAGTGAAAGACTGGTTATAATATTTAATATTCTGTGACAAAATCTCTACAGGGAACGCTAATAAAACATTTGTTAGCAGACATCAACATCATATCCAGCATTACAGCATCATGATTCAGGACCATGTGACAACAGAAATACAATTTAAAAAATAATATAAAAATAAAATATGGATGGGAACCCCTTTTGTATAGAGTCCTGTAGAGACCAGTGGGAATCTTGTGCAATCTGTAGCATTGGGTGCTTTTTGTTGAACATTTTTGACCAATGAATCAGCTCTATTTTCTTGGCTTTAATACATTCAGGAAGTGTTTTACATCTAAAAAGAACCGCAGAGGATCCAGAGAGTTGAGGAAGGTTCTTCCTATTGATCGCCGTTCTGTTAACAGACACACTGGGCAAGTTAAAGTGTGGCATCTCATACTGAAAAACACAATAATCCAATTATGATATATAGAAATACAATATTGTAAGTCAAGCTCAAGCAGCTCAACAATGAAAGCCAAAATACATCTGGATGCATTTTAGTGTCTTTTAAGGTTTAACTTGCCAAGAGTGCCTTCATAAAAGAAAAGGAGAAAATTAAGAAATTATATTATATAGGTAAAGAAAGGAAATGTTTTTCACGTGCTTTGTTGTTAAATCGTGGAATAAAATTATAACCCAAATGTGGCAGAAGCAGAAGACAACACTCCCGTTTCATTTCAGAGATACATATCCATGCCATTTACGAATTAGGAAAAAACAAATATTTTCATCTTCACCGTGGACAATTTTGGGTTATATACAATATAATTGACATTGTAGAAAAAAAGAACTGCTCAAGTACTATGTTTATAAGCTTCGAACATGATTTTTTCCCCCCTCCTGTCATATAGTTCAGCACTGAGGTTTTGCCTGTGACAGATGGAAGTGCATACACGAGTTGGATCCAGATACAATCACTTGATAAAGGATGTTTGGAAATGTTCAAAGAATACTCATTGGACATTCAAGAGGACACGTAATCACTTTTTTGTTTTTAACAAAAATAGACATGGCTTATCCAGCCTTGAAATTCCATCTTAATATATATAAAATTATGTCTCGTCTATTTACAGTCAGATAGTGTTCTGAAGGATTAGAAAGTCCTGCTGGGGATTGTGGGTAGTGCAGTTTTAGTGTCAACTTATCCGATGGCAGACAATCGTGTCGCGTGTGTGTGTGGTTCTACAGGGCAGGGAGGATTCTGCTACTTAAACTTTATTGAAATATATTTGTGCTCCAGCCCGTTCCTGTCACTGTAACTAAACAAAGTCTCGACTGAAGAGAGATTAGCGGAGGATTATTGTACTCAGCTGATAATGATTGTGTGTTGACATGTCGGCGCGGGGCTGGAGCCAGAAATGTTACCAGATGTACAGGACTGATCTGTGGCTACTGGGGACAGAGTGGAGCCAGTTGTTTTAATACTAATTTGAGTGAACTTCTGCCAGTTTCACTGGTGACACTTTGTAAATATTTAGGCATTGACTTGTGAGATAAAGTTGCTACGGCTGTGCTTATCTATTGTGGTCACTACTGTCTGGAGTAGGTAGAGAACAGCAACTACCAAAACCCACGAGTCAGCTCTAAAGTTGAGAACAACGGATACTCAGATTGGATTTTTGAAGAAGAAATCGAATTACTAATCTCTTCTTGGAGTACAGAGCGCATTTTCAAATGCAGCGGGAAGAACAACCTGCTCAAAAAGTTGTTAAATATGGCATTTTGTTGACCTTTATTGACTCGGGTCAGTTCATTGAGAAAACATCTATTTATTTGTCTCGTTCTCTCTCTCTGTTGTGATGGCTACAGTTGTTTTCCTCTGTGGGTTTGTCAGCTTAGATGTCAGGCAAAACTGATGTGTGGCAGTGTTTCATCATGAATTGGTAGATCTCTGTTCCCTCCGTTCTCTGTCCGTGCTGGGTGTGTGGCTCTGTTGTCTCTCAAACAGATGATTGGTCCCATACCTGTAGGATCAAACCAAAAACATGAAGTCAGATTAATACATGCATGGAATACCCCTCAATACTTAGAAATCTGAACCAAAGCATACAATATAACAAGACAAGAGTCTACAGCCACACAAACGAGTCCTTGACTAACAACCTGATGTTAAGTAAGTTATTGTGTTAATTAGCAGTTGTTAGCATGCTAACAACTGCTAATTAACACAATCAAAAACAGCTGAGGCTGATGAGGTTTCTGATGATGGCACTGGATTAAAAAGTCAGGTGATCACCAAAGTTATCATGTCACCACGTCACTATTATTGCTAAAAACAAGTTTTCCTACCATCATTATTATTAA